GCAAGGCTGTTAAGCCCCCCCCCCCCCCCCCCCCCGATGCACATACCTTGTCCCATGCTGACTGGCTGCCGTTCCTGAGCTGCCGACTTGGGGGTGTACAGGAAGCAGGTGCTCTATGTAGGGAAAGCAGCGAGGAGCTGGCATGGCGGCCTTAATTCCCAAGCTGAATGAGCTTCAGCACAAAGCCCCCGATCCAGGCTGGCCAAAGGCTGCGATGCAGAGCTGAGCTCCAGGAAACACAGATGCGATGTTAGAGATAATTAGGTTTTTGGATCTAGGCGTGTGTTGCATTCTTCAGAAAGATGTACATTATGGCTGACGAGGGGGGGTATGCTGGGTCAGAGGTCAGACTCACACCTCCGGCGCTGGCGGCTTGGAGCCCATCGCTGGCTCCGTGGGTGTGCGAGTTTACGTGTTCCACTTTTTAGCGGTGGTGCAAAAATGTGAGACTAGATAAACTGGCCTCTAAATTGCCCATGATTTGTGATTGTGTGCATGAGTGTGTGTCCCCTGCCCTGTGCCCTGTGCATTCTGGGATAGCCAGCAGGCACCCCTGTGACCCTGCACTGTAAACCATGCCCCCAACCAAACTCCGCCCCCACACAGCTAAGCCACGACTTCCCATCTCTGACAGATTTGGTGCCTGGGGAACGAGAGCAGGTACCACGTGAACCGTACCGTGGACGGGTCCACCTTCTCGGTGCAGCTGCCCAGCCTGTCCCCCGGGATCCGCTATAGTGTGGAGGTGGCCGCCAGCACAGGGGCTGGGCCGGGAGTCAGGAGCGAGGTCACCGTCTTCCAGCTGGGTGAGTGTCAACTGACCTGCCATGCAGCTGCAGCCCGTCATCGCAAGTCCTGCAGATCCTCCTTTCCATTCCCTAACTCTGATTTCTGCTTTCTATGTGCCTTTATCCACAGCGTTATATACCTATTTATACAGCGGGATCTCCACACTCATTCCTCTCAGCAGAGCCCCTCCTTGGCATATTCTACTGGGCCTTTATTTTATAATCTCATGTCCTTGTTTGCTTAGTTTATATAAATGGCATAAATAAGCAATTCGTCCTTTTCAAGAGCCTGCCAGGTGCCTGCTTCAGGATTATAACTGCTGTCCTCTGTCTTATATTCTGAAAGGTCAAAGGTCATCATCTTGCCTCTAGCATTGTTTTCTCTGCCTTGGCTGCATTACCACGTTTGGCCTCATCAGAAATCCTGGCTTATTCCAGATCATTTGTGCCAGAGATAGAGGCTTTTGCAACATGGTTAAGCATTTATTGTTATTTTAAAATATATATCCATCATGTATTGAATAAAACATTTCCTGCTTTCTCTGTGTCATCTAGCTGATTGCATCTGATCCTCACCTCATTTTTCAGAGCAGAAGCTCTGATTTGTGGCCAACATGAGGCTCCAGTCGTAGAAAACCCGTAATCCCTGCTAATGTAAATGCCATCACCTGTTGCAAAAACAATTTCCCATGGCTGTGCTCTGCCATGTATTTCCCCTTCTCACTCTTTTTATGCTCCAATCTTTCATCGAGTAATTGAAATTATTTCAGCCCAATTATTTCTGTCATCCTCGATACTGCCTCTGACAAGCGTGAGTGGCAAGGACTCTCGTCGGATTAATCTCCGCCATTAGCCTGTTTATCAGTTTTCCAGTGTAACCTGAATAATTTCATGTCACAGCTGCTTAATGGAAATGACGCGGCAGCAGTGCCGGCAGTGCTGATTTACTCACGATGGCAGTGGATGCTCCCAGAGCGATTTACATGGTTTGTTTTTCCAACAGCGGCATGTTTACAGCAGTGCTGTAGATTAATTATCCAGCTGCCGTCTGTGGGGTAGTAATAGTCACCGAACTGGAGCTAGAAGCACTTACAGTATAACTCGACTTCACTAATTTTGCAGCAAATGCTCTGGGGCTTGTCCAGTCTTGTGTTCTACTTGGTTCTTCTTGTCAGCATGGAGCAAACCCTGCGCTTGCCCTGCTAAAGCAGGAACAAAGACGCAAGCATGACACAGGACCCTCCCTCGATCTGCTCTTGGCTGTCACTATGCCTTCTGACCCCTGGTAGTTTGGGGCAAAGATATAATTCCGCAATGCTTGAGACATGCATGTAAAACCATTGCCATCATTAGGTTCGATAGAAAGTGTCCATCATGGCTCCATAGGTTCATCTGTCACTGCAGCGAGAATGTGACACCCAGGTAAACCTCAGGTGCCATGGTTGCTGCTCATTAGTGTGGCCCATTCAGGTGGTCTGAGATCATGCAGTAGGGAGGCGCAGAAACCGGGCTGAACATGAAGCAGGCCTTCCCGGACCATCTGTGATCTCTGAGAAGAGTAAAAATCCTCTGTGACGAAAAAGAAAGACGAAAGTGCAGGAAATCACAGAGAAATTGGTGTGATGGGAACAGGACATGCCAGAGAGGAGGAAAGTCAGGAAATGAGAGAAAAGCATAAAAGCCGTCCTCATGTGTGAATGTGCCTGTCAGCCAGCCGCATTCATCAATAATCCAGCCAAGGAACCCCCCCCCCGCTCACCCCTCCACTCTGATGGGCATGACAGTAAAGGCAAAGTCAGTGTTCCTTGCAGCTTTTGTGGTGACCCTGTGTGTTTATGATGTGACTCATTGCTCAAGTCCTATTTCAGCAGCACAAACACCGTTGCCCTTAGCAGGATGTGAAATCAAGCGGAATCAGCATTAGATCCTCACCATCTCATGACCATGCTCATCTCTAGGGCCTGTTCAGGCCTTTTCCTGGGAACCCACAGCTCAGTGTTGTGTCGAAGTAGTTAAAGAATTAAACTAAACAAGGCACAGGCCAGCTGTAGCCTTGAGCAAAGTTCCTAAATGTAATTGCTTCACTAAAATTCCAGCTGTGCAAGTGGGGGAAATTTGTAGGCAAGCTATGTGTGTCACTCTATATAAGCATGCATGTCTGCACTCAGATATATAATGTTGTGTAATCTCTGAATAATATGTTTTCATAAATGACCTCTAAGTAAATTACTGTGTTCAGTGTTCTGTAGACGGCAATATAAAAAATAACCCAGAATTTCTCAGTACATAATGTTATACATTTAGGCTTCATGGACTCCTTTCATTTCATTAAGCGATTTGTTCTGTAAATGACATGTCAAATTAACCTTCCAATTCAAAGGTTCATCAGTCCTCTTTCTGGTTGGTGCAGCTCCCATATAAAAAGAGACTCCTTTTGGTTCATCAGCCAACCCAGGTTACTCTACTCATCCATGTACATGCCTTGACAGCTGTGGCCCTGGGGACCACCTTCCTCTGTTCGAGTTTATGACCCGCCAGTTTTTTACTGGGCTCTGTCTGATTGGGCAGCTGATTTGATTGACAAGTCTCACATTTCTCTCATTGGATAACCATGCCTAAGGCTGGCTAGTGAGATGAAAGATGCTTTGTGCTGCTTTTCATTTGAGCAAATTTGGCTGACATGTTCTTCTTTAGTCCTCCCAAAGTTCTGGGAATGAGCACTGTCTGCCGTTATCCTCCCCATGGGGTTACCTCTCCTCACCTTTTTCATCTCCTCTCTCACTATCGTCTGCTGTTTCCCGTCGGCTTCAATTTGCTGGCCTTGGATTTCCTTGGCACCCTTATTTACACTCTTATGTACCTCATTCTGCTGTACCTATTCTATCCCTTTCACTCTTTTGGCCTTTTCTTGTCTTCCCTCTGCTTCTCCTTCACCCCTTTGCCCTCTTCCCTCCTCCCCTTCCCATTCTGTCCTCTCACATCCTCCTTTCTCCCTTTTCATCCCACATGCTCTCATATTTCATGCCTCCTTTCAGTTCAGATGAACTCAGTTCCACGGCATTTCTGTTTAGCGATTCTTACAGCACGCCGTGGCTAAAGCAGCCTGCTAGCTTATTAAGATTATTAAGCTGACCACACTTAATAATCAGAGTTAATAACCGGAGAGCATGACCACTGAGTTGATCCATTGAGCTGGTAACTGAGACTTGAACATTGGAGATGAGAGCTCCTTGCCTTCCTCTCCACAGACTCCTCTGGCCGCATCAAGACCCCAGACCAACCCCTGTCCCAGCAGATCTCGGACGTGGTGAAGCAGCCGGCCTTCATCGCCGGCATCGGTGCCGCCTGCTGGATAATCCTCATGGTCTTCAGCATCTGGCTCTATCGACACCGCAAGAAGCGGAGCGGGCTGAGCAGCAGCTACGCAGGCATCCGCAAGGGTCAGCCCCGTGCGCCTGGCTGCGTGGGTGTGTTGTGTGGGAGCTTGTGTGTGTGACCTGGTGCCTGCGCTCTTCTGCGTGGGAGGGAGGGCACGTCTTCTTTACATAGCTGAGTGAGCTCTCTGTACCCACAGTTCTTCATTTTGCTTTACTCACTTGTTCTGTTAATACTCCTACTCTTTAAATATTTGGCAAAACTCCCTGTAAAACAGCCTTTGAAACTCAATAAGAGGAGTTTTTCTTTTTTCCTGATCATTAACTGTCTTCAAAAATAGATGAAACAGGAGAATTCCTTTGATCCATGTGAGAATCTTCATTTTTACAAGAGGCTGTTTCCTACCTCATTTCGGTTTTATTTTTTCTTTTCCTTGGCCTGTTTCGCCGACAGCACTGCTCTGATACACATTCTACTCTTATTTATCACGGCCTCTGTGAGGCTGCAGAAACTCGTCAATATTTAGCGATGAAGATTACCAGGCCTACTGATAACTTCTACCCCCTGTTGCTCTTGTCTGCCGCCTCTCTTGTCCTCCAGCACTCCTACCCTCCATCGCCGGCGGTCCCTGTTTCTGTCAGGGAGGGGCATTTGACAGAATGCTCTTCAAGCTGCCACAGGAGCGGTCACACTGAGAGGAGGATTATGGGTAGCGACTATAGTTGCTCTTGAGATGGCACAGGGCTGCGGGCCCTCAGCACGGCGTGCGAGCTTCATGCACAGCCGCGCCCGCATTATCCAGAGTATCAAAACTGCAATTCCTTTTTTTTTTTTTTGGTTTAATGTCTAGCTGCAGGCAAAGCAGCTGAACCCCCCCTCCTTCCCCCCCACTCTGTGGTTCAGGTTTTATCTTGACTAGCAGGATAATAACTGCCCATATAGAAGAAGTCATTCTGCTTAAGTACCAAGTAGAGAGCAGCAGAACAGACAAGCTTGTGAGCAATAGGGGGGATGGGGGGATGGGGGCTTGCGCTGGGCCTCCTAGTCTCAAATCACAACAAGGTGGCAGGTTTCATTAGGCCCCAGAGTGTCCTTGCCTTCAGGAAATGTCTTCAGCATGGGGTGGGGGGGCAGCCAAGTCCCTATCCCCTCCTTCGGCCCCCAGGGGTCCAATGCAGTATGAATGGAGCAAGGTGGAGAGGTTGGCCGGCATTTCCATAGCCCCTTGCTTCCTGAAGGACACACAGGAAAATGGATATTTACTGACAGGCCCAAGGTCACGTTCAGAAATCCAATTATCAACTTATAATATGTGGTATTCCAGAGCCCGTATAAAAATAAAAGCCTGGCACTAGCTATTTAAGAGCTAGACAGTGTGAATGCTGTTACTCTGCTGCTTACTAGATATGTCTGTATAGATACTAACAGAAATGTCTTTGTTCCAAGCCTGTGAATGTGTTGTTTGCTGTTTTGCGTGTTACTTCTACCCAAAAGTAAGACTCGAAACCCAGGAACATGCAGAGCGTCTAGTGGCCTACCATTCTCTAACAGCATTACTAGTGAAAATGCTCCTCTAGCTAGAGCTGAGCCAGACCCCGAAGTTAAGATTCAACTTAGGCCTGTTATCAGAAGGTCGCTGGTTCAAATCCCATAGGGGGCAGTGTAGTCATATCATCCTTGGGCCCTTAAGCAAGGACCATTACCTGAAAACATGCTCCAGGATAAACAGGTCAGCCTGTGATCAGAAGCTGAGCTTTGTTTTCACCAAAACAGTGTGATACAGGAGAGCCTCTGCTTATACCTGTGCAGATAGCAAATAGAACATTGTTACCATTAGAACGTCATTGAGAAAGATGGGATGCACTACCTCGATCAATCACTTTTTACAGGACCCACCTAAGAGATCAGCTTCCCTTATTGGCTGCTTCAAACTAGCAGTAATCTCTTGGTAATGGGAATTAAGGTGAGTGACTCGTAGGAATGTGAAGCCTCTGCAGTCACTGTGCCAGCTCAGGTGATGCTGCTCCCTGATTCTGTCCAAACTTGGGCATTGGGATCTTCTCACATTACCTTTTTCTGGAAACAGGTGGCAGACCTGTAGCATTAGCAGCTGCCGCTGCCCAGTCCCATCTACTGGAGAAGCTGCTGTTGAAACTAGTACCAGAGAAAGTTTATGGATGAAGCAGAACAAGATGCGTTGCCACCTGAGGCTGGAATCTAATGCCAGTGTGGGGCAAAGCAGCGGAATGAAAGGGAGGATTGTGAGAATGTCAGCTCTTCTGCTCGATCTTTTTCCTCAAGATCTGTGGCAACAGGGACAGTAAAGAAATACAAACCAACCTCATTTTTGCGTGGATGTGTCTGTGCGTGGCTCTGTCCTCCTGGAAAGTCCCCGCCCCCCCAGGAGCGCTTAGAGCCAGGGGCTGAGCGCCGATGACACATTCCGTCGCTGTGGTGATTTGATTTATTTATTTCCAGCGTGTTAGCATTCCACATTAGCGTTTAGCATGACACGCCGAGTGTCACTTTGCCTCAGCTTCAAAGTGGGCAGGCCGATGCCACGCACTGATAGAACCATCACGCCCGCTGGGGGTTATCCGCTTAATCCCTTCATGCGCCTGACCTCAAAGCAGGGCCAAAACAAAACGGAGATTAATGTGTCATTTATAGCGTGACACTCTTCATTGATGTTGGAGGTTGTTTTCCTGTAAATAAAAGTAAATGAAGGAGTGAGGACAGTGCTGGCTGGGGGCTCACAGTGTCAGTGCTCTTCATGTATTTGCATAGCTCGTGTGCATGCCGCCATGACGACAGAAACTCCTTAAATAGGTACAAATCTGTATAGCACAGGCTCGGCATGAAGTGGTCTGCTGTGCTGGCTGGGGTGTAGAGGGTACACGCATGCCCCCTTCCCCATTATACCACGGCATAAGCCCTCAGTGACCCTCTGCGGACCTCCTGACTGCCTGGGCCACAATTTGAAGCAGAGTTCTCCCTCAAGCTTGCTGCTTGCTGTCCAAATAGCTGGAGCAGCCACAATGTGAGAATAAGAACAGGCTCAGACCTTCAGTTACACATGAAACCATCCTTTGCTGTTAGTCTGCTGCTACTATATGGCCTTTACATACAGCAACACTGCAGACAGACACCTGTAAATATTCCTGAAGCTAATAATCTCCTTCCTTCTCTCTTTCCCTTGCACATCCCTCTGTTTGGGCAACACAGTTCCATCGTTCACCTTCACCCCGACAGGTATGTATGCTTATGTTGATGTCTTGGGACTTTTTTTTCTCCCAACACTATTTCTCTCTGTTCCATTATCTGAATTCCTGTACCACAGAATGGTAGCTCATATGGTCATAAAACATGTCTTTGGTCAGCAGAGAAGGCCAGGTCTTACTAAAAGTGATTTTGGAAGATGTTCTTTTAGCTGAAGGCATCAATGCTGCAGTTAGGAGTGAAACCTCCTCTGACATTTTTGGATAAAGTAACAGATTAGAGGAGCTCTTTCCCGATGCCACAGGAGCCAATCACAACAGGACAGTCAGATAGCTGTGTCAGACAGGATGGATTTCCATTACCCACAAGCACCTCCCAACAGGTGTGGCCTCACCAGGACCCTCGGTTGTGCTGTCAGTCTGTGCAGCCGGGATTCCTCAGTCCCTCTTTCTGCTTCCAGCACCTTTCCAAGGTTGTAGCTGTCTTGTCAGAATAAGGGGCACCCTGCTTTGGAATATGTGTACTTAAGGTGCCTAATTCCCTGAGTGCCTTTGTTTAAGTCCGCGATCCTTTAGATTCTCTCCTTTAGATTCTCTCCTTTAGATTCTCTTCAGGCTGCTCCCTCTCTGGCTTCCCATCTCATTATACAGCTGCTCTTTAAATATAGGACATTTCTGTCACCTGGAACTCTAGGGGGAGTGTGAAATTTGCCGTTATTTATGAGACATTCTGTTCCATTTATACTTTTTTTTTTTTTTTTTTAATTCGGGGGAAATTATAACCCGAGAAGGAAGCCTTTGGTTCATTGTTGGATTAAAAAATCAGACATTCTTATACAGAGTTTGCACAAACCTCAGACTTCCTGTGCAGGGAGGGTGATGCTTTAAATCCTCCCTAAAAGAGATTGTAATTAAAGTGCCAGTTTATCTCACCTTCACACACCGGCGGCTTAGAGCTCCATGAAAGGGCCTGGCTTCCCCTGCAGAAGGCGTCACATGGGGAGCGGCGGCGATGCTGAGGGACTGCAGCCGCGTGGAGCCTCCTCTAAGCCTCTTATACACCCTCACACACAGAGACACACACAGAAACACACACACACACTGAGATTCACAGATACACCCACACTGAGACTCACAGAGACACACTGATGCACCCACACTGAGGGTCACAGACACACCAACACCGAGACTCACATATAGACAGAGACACACTGATACAGCCACACACTGATACAGATGCAGAGACGCACAATCAAAGAACACTGGTGCACCCACACTAAAACTCAGAGACACACACACAGATGCACTGAGACTCACAGACAAACACACAATATTACACACACTGATACCCAGAGACACACACAGAGATGAAGACACACTGATACACATGCACACTGATAGAGACACACACACTGAAACTGACAGATACTCAGACAGACACATTATCACATACAATCACACACCGATGGACACAGAGGTTCACACACTCTGATACACACAGATATACACTGAAACTCACACACTCAGATATAGTCACGCCAGTTTTCTCAGGGGCTCTGTGTGCACATGCATCTTTCCCTGTGTGATCAGGTGGCATGTGGCTGCTTTTCTCTTTGCAGACGACTGCATTGGCAGCTGTGCATATGTGTCTGTGTCTGTGTGGGTGTGTTGGGGGCTCTGTGAGGTGAGGGCAGCCCGCCTGTTTATCCTGCCCCCCCCCCCCCGCCTGTGCTGGTGCTCCCATTCATTGACACTCGTCTTTGTCCGCAGTGTCCTACCAGAGAGGCGGAGAGGCAATCAGCAGCGCCGGGAGGTAAGCGACTCGCACTCACGCACTCAGGCCCGCTGTGCCCGCTGTGCCCGCTGTGCCCGCGGTACCCATCCCTAAACATGCTCTCACACTCAGCCATGACAGAATCCTGTCTGTGTTCAGGCTGAGCAGAAGCAAACTGCGCAACCTGCACATGCATATCTGGCATTTAACAGGTTATTACAGTATTTATGCCCACTATGATTATCACACTGACTTCACTGTGCTTGATGTTGTCAGGAAGGAGACAGAATAAAGCGATTATGAGTCAGAGGAAAAAACAACCAGGTGTGAAAATAAGAAAGAATGAAGGTGTGGTGTGAGACAAACAAGAATAGGAGTTAGGGAATCAAGGGGCACAGAGGAGGAAAATGAAGAGAGGGTAATGCTTTCAGTCTGCCACTAGGGGGAGTGCTTTGACTTTATAAGAGACTAATACAGGCAAGGCAGAGGGTGGAGTCCATGGTTGTAGACAAAAGATCGTGGCATCCATAAAAAGCCTTTTCCCAGTCCCAAGCAGACTGCTGCCATCACTCATGCTGTCAGTCTCATAGTGATTTCCAAGGAGGCTGGTATGCGTCTCTGTCTGTCCATGTGTCATTGTCTGTGTGTGTGTGTGTGTGTGTGTGTGTTCCTGCGTGTGTGTGTCTTTGTCTATCTGTCTGTCTGTGTGCATGTGCATCTGTGTCTGTGTCTGTCTATGTGTGTGTCTTTGTCTGTCTGTGTCATTGACTGTGTGTGTGTTTTATGTGTGTGTGTGTTCGCGTGTGTGTGGTCCAGGTATATCTTATGTTAAAATTTCCCATACAGCGTGATAAAAACCTGTTATTTTGACATTGTAGGGACCATGTTCCCAGTCCCCATAAAGATAACCTCAATTTTAAAAAAATCTGTGACTGCAATAAAAAAACAAAAACTGCCGAAAGTCTTGGTTACTCATGGTTAAGGTTAAGGTTAGACCTTGGTAAGGGTTAATGTTGTCATTTGGTTTTTCATGTAGAAATTAATGGATGGTCCCCACAAAGGTATGAGTACAGGTCTGTGTGTCTGTGTGTCACATGGCCTACAGATGGATCGGCATCCCAAACACAGAAGCATTCTGGTGCCCCCCACAGTCTGCTCAGGTGTGAGGGGTAGCTCACCTCTTCTGTTTCAGGCTGCCCCATATCTGATGATTACCCAGCAGCCCCTGCACCTCCTGGCAGCTACACAGACAATTCGCTGTACACATACCTTTGTGTGACACCGATGAGCTTGGACATTGCAATACGACATACTTATTAACTGATCATATTTTTAAACAGCTTCTCTAAATATGTATATTGCCTTGTATAACTGTAAACAAGCAATATCTTTTCCTTGAATGCATCTGATAAATTGAAGCTTAACACACAAATGTAAATTCACTGCATATTGAAATTACAGAATCATAACAGCTAGAATCTGGGATCAGACAGCGAGGATGGATGCTGGAGTTAATGTGAAATTAATGCTTAGCTGGGAAGTGCAGGAGACAAAGGAAGGACCTGCTATCCATGCTGGCTGCTGTGTCTGGACGCCTGCCATTCTGTGTGTGCATGTGTGTGTGTGTGTGTGTGTGTGTGTGTGTCCGTGTGTGCGTGAGGTGTGGAGTTTCAAATGTCAGTTCAGAGCTGTCTGTTGTCAGAATCCTTCGGAAAGAGCAGAGTCAGCCACTCATGAAAAAATGAGAGCAAGAAAGAGAAATGAGAACAGGAGCAAAACAGAGAGATGGAGAGATCTACAGATTTGGGGAGGAAGGGAGAGGGCTGTGTTTTGTGTTTATTGGTTATTTTCAGGGATGTTATCAGTTGACGGTTCTGAATTAGCTGCCATTAATTAGGTTAGCTGGGTGAGGCTGTTTAACTTAACTAGAGTCAAACAGCAAAGCTGTGTTTTTTAATTCTCCTTTGGTCTGTTTTATACTTCTTTTGCAAAATCAGTAACACGGAGGACATTTTATTTTCCCCACACATCGGAGAGACAACTGCATGGCAAGTCGCCTTTGTGGTGCAGTGATCCCAGCATTTGCAGTGCTTTCAGAGACGCTTGCCGAGTCTTGGGTTTTGGTCTCCAACGCACTGTCCTGTCAGCAGCATCAGCCCACCCGAGCAAACATAACCTGTTTGGCCTAGATGTCCACGGGCAAACAACTGTTTCCTAAAGCATCAGAACATTCACAGATCATGAGGGGACTTGGGAGATGGTGGAAGGTGTGGACTGTGCTGGAGAGGAAGCTGCCTTATACCAGTTAGACAGACGGGGCTGTCAGGCGGTTCGGTTTCCTCCTGGGGTCGGTATTTGGGAGTGACTCTCAGCAGGCCAGTGTTTCTGCGGGTCCCGTACCTCTGCCAGGTCTCACGGCGTCGGTCTCTCTGCTTCTGGGCCGACAGGCCCGGCCTGCTGAACATCGCGGAGCCAACCACCCAACCCTGGCTGGCCGACACCTGGCCCAACTCGTGCTCCAACCCCAATGACTGCTCCATCAACTGCTGCACAGCGGGAAACGGCAACAGCGACAGCAACCTGGCGACCTACAGCCGCCCAGGTGGGGCCACCGGAGCTGCTGGGGGGGCTTAGCACAGGAGTCACACCCCGGGGGCTGGGAGGACAGCACTCTGTGGCCATTCTCTCTGCAGAAGTGACAAAGAGGCATTTCAGTGCTGTGTCTAGGGGGTGGGGCTTTGCTGACGATACCACAAACAGAGAAAGTACTGAAAACTCACGAAACTGTACGGAGTCTCACATTTATGCAGGAATATGGTCACTCTGTATTATGGGAGCAGGAGGCAAAGTAGATTAGGGAGTGGAATTCTGGGAAATACTCTAGAGTACCAGGGGAGGCTTGGCTGATTGATTCTTGAACAAGGATCTTGACCTGGTTTACCTCAATTTACTGATGTTTATTTACCTGTACGGGTAGGCAGAGTATCTAAGACAAAACCAAACACATGGATCAAAGATAGTCATAATAACTTTTTTCCCACAAAGGTCAAATCTTTCCTGTGTCACGGATGAGCCTCCGGCACTGAGCATCTACTGTTGTACAGTATTAGCCAGCAAGGAGGGAGTTTGGGGGGTGTGGTGTTTGATTTGTTAGAGGTTAAATCAGGGGCTATTTTTGTTCAGGAAATAGAAATAAACATTCTGGAAGGATCCTGTGGGTTTACTCTGCTGCTAATCGAATTGCTTTCCTGATTTCCATACTGTTGTTATAGCCCTTAATGTAATTTAGGCTAAGTGCTCAGTTATTTAAGAAATGTGGATGGGCCACAGAGGTCAGCACGGGACTGCGGGAAGTGGGCAGCACTGGGGAATCGGGGGGCACCTGAACAATGTGGGGGGCGGGAGGAACAAGGTAGCCAGGAAAATATAAAAGGAGAGCAGAGAGGAGCAAAGTCACAGTTATCGGTAGTAGACAAGAGTGAAGAAGAGCAGAAGAGCCACATCATGCTTTATAAGGGGCCTTCAGTCTGGAGAGCAGTGTTTGATTTAGGGACACAAAAGACACTAGAAAAGGAGTGAACTAAAGTCGCAGCCGAGAGAGAGATGGCAGGAGATTTGGGTGTGGGGGGGGCTCTTTCCCAAAAGCAGCCCACGGTGCCTCCTTATGTGACTGCAGGGTTCACTGATGACCTCTGGCAGCCCAAACCATGACCTCCTGCCACCCCTCCCATCGGTGCAGGTGTCCATATTTGTTGTGGGGGAAGTTAATTTTCATTAACCTGGGCTGAGTGTGAATGGCTGCTCTTCTGCACTCACCCCATGATGAGCAGACACATGTAATATGCAGTGTTAGGGCTGCAGAAGGGGGCTTTGCATGTGACAGACACGAAGGCATGCAGCATGGCCGTGCCGTGTGCTCGCACGCTGATGAGCGCGATGAGGTCCACGCGGACCCCGCACCTTAAGCAGGCCTCTCACACTCAGGCCTTTGAAGTCCCACATAATCGCAGTTCCTTGGAAACCCCAGATGCTCCTGAGTAGCCAAATGTCGGCGCATCACGCCGAGCGGAGCGGAGCCGGCTTGCCGGCCTTTTGAAGATTTAAATGCATTAATGAGTGCGGCATGCGGCGGGACTCGCTGGCAGGATTCCAGCCCCCCCCCCCACCCCGGGGGACTGATCCGGATGAGCTCAGATGTTCCGCTGGAGGATCTGAGTGGCTTGTGGCTTCATCTCAGCTTCTTCTCCTTTGGCTTCACGGGCCGTGAGGGAGGAGGGTCGCTGGAAGAGGAGGAGCCCTGCTCAACATCTGAGCACCTGCTTGCAGGGCCCGTCCTTATTTACATGTTTGCCTAAAGTGATGTAACAAGATAAATATGTCTGCCTCCGACGGGCTATCCATCATTCTGAATACGCGAGCAATTTAACCGGCTAGATTCAGTCTTGCGTTGAAGTGCCCATTAATTTTTGGTGTAGAGTAAAGCGATGGCAGTCACACAGTCATTACTAGCCGAATACTCGATTACTAACCCCTCACCCCACCCCCGTGTCACCCAGCTGATTGCATCGCCAACTATAACAACCAGCTGGAAAACAAGCAGACTAACCTGATGGTGCCCGAGTCGGGGGTGTACAGCGACGTAGACCTCCCCAGCAAGGTCAACGAGATGAAGACCTTCAATAGCCCCAACCTGAAGGATGGCCGCTTCACCGGCCCGGGGGGGCAGCCCACCCCGTACGCCACTACCCAGCTCATACAGTCAAGCATCACCAGCAGCGGCAACGTCAACAGCAGTGGTGGAGGGGGTAGTGACCTCAACGAGAAGCACTGCTGGAAGCCGCCACCTGGGCCGCAGCAGAAGCAGCAGGATGTGACCTCACAGCTGCAGTACAGCATCATGGAGCAGAACAAGCTTAACAAGGGTGAGTGGCAGGCAGGGTGTCCGGCCAGCAGGGGCCGGCTGGGGATGCACCTCCCGCCCCCCCTCTTCCTGTCACCGTGTACCTCCATGCCCTTGATGGACACGCCCCCGCACCTCCCCACCCTCCTGGGACACGCCCCCGGAAGCCACGCCCTCATCCCATCCGGCGACATCAGCATGTCTCTCTTGCAGACTTTCTTTTTCATCTTCTCAGTCTCCTTTGCTCCAGTCCTCTGCTGATCTTTACATGTCTTTGCATTGGTGTTATTTCTGAGAATGCCTCCTGTCTACATCGTACGGATGATGCCATTTGTGCCCAGAACATTGTCCATCTCAAGGGTAAATGGGCCCTTTAATGCAGTAAAGGGTTGAGACTGTTTGAGGTCTCCAGTTGTTGCACCTCCTGCATTCTCTCATTTATACTTCATGGCAAGGAGCTCTAAGCGACTCATTTGCGCCCCCTAGCACATAACTCATGTGTGTGTCTCCATGTGCATGCTGTGCTCCCGCTCTGGGTTTAGTCACCTGTGTGCAGAACCTGCTGTGTTTTTATTCTGCACGAATAACAGCATCTTCACCAGAGTGACTTTGTTTTATATGTTTCTCCTTTCATGCTCACATGCCAGTACCATCCTCCACCAAGACGAGACACAAATTACATTTTCAGAATAAAATTAGGTTGTATTAGTTAAAACAATTCTTATAAAGAGCCTTTCAAAGGGAATGATCCTGCTGGAAGTTTCCAGAATCTTGCAGTTTAAATGCAGGGACTTTCACTCCTGTCTTCTTCCTTCTGTCTTTCTCTCCTCCCGCTGGGGTGCTCCCTGCACCTCCTCATTTCTGCTTCCCCTCCTTGCGGGTTGGGGGGTGCGTTCGCCCGCTCGCCGGCTGACGCTGCTTCTCTCCCGTCCGCCCGCAGAGCACTACAGAGGGGGGGAACTGCCGGCCACCATCCCCTACAGCCAGGCACACGAGGGCCACGCTGCAGGCGCTTACAGCAGCTCTGAGCGGGGCAGCAGCAGCACCTCTGGTGAGGGGGCTCGGGGGTGGGGGGGGGGTCATGTTTGACTTTATTTTACCGTGACCTTTCTGCAGCGAGCCGACTCTCTGCCAGGGTTTGTTTGTTTGGCTATTTACTCAGGCTGTACTGCGAACTGGCCAGCAAGTGGCGATATAGACCCAGAATCCCCCAGCTGAGCCGCATGAAGAGGACTGGGGATCTGTTGTGGCTGGTCCCTAGGCGCCCCATTCCTTTTTAAACTCTTCCCCGCTGTTTGTCGCCAAACCATTAATTACCGTTGTCTTCATCATAGCGAAGGGAGCAATAATTTCATGTGGGCACCGCCGTTTGTTCCTGGACAAGGACAAATGACGCGCATTGCGGCCGGCATGCAACGCTGCCATCATAATGCGTCTTATCTATTTTTATATTGTATTTGAAGTTGCCGTAATTAAAGCACAGTGTTCACTGCAGCAAGGGACCACAGCTCATTGGGTCTGAATTGTAATTTATGGCTGTTAATCGGCCTCTGATGCGTTTTTCTGCTCTTTATTCGTTTTTTGGCACGGAATGATATTACTTTTGAAAAATGAGTGTTTTTCTGTTTGATGGAATGCCTGACATTAATTACAAATTGAGAGATAAGGTCTCCATGCATTTTCCCTGCATAAATAACGACACAGTGCCCATTAGCCACACTCCCGTCAGGTGTAAACATCAAGCTTTGTTCGTCGTTTTTGATGATCTCGCTTGTTTTAGTTGTCTGAGTGCGTCTGTGTGTTCCTGAGCGTGTCCTTTATTCTCCTGAGCAGGAAGCCAGGGTCAGAAGAAAGGCGTCCGCACCCCCAAGCTGCCTAAACAGGCCAACATGAACTGGGCCGACCTGCTGCCCCCTCCCCCCGCCAGCCCCCCGCCCTGCCGCAGCGTGGAGGAGTACTCCCTGCCAATGGGTGACAGGTGGGGCCCGATGCTCGCACGGCTGTGTCATCATGCCACGGTAAGCCGCCCGCCTGCCTGATCGGCTCCCGTCTGCACATCCTCAGCTACGACGCAGACGTGCAGTGCCCGCCCCCCCCCTCGCGGATGTACCTGCAACCCGGAGAGCTGGAAGAGGAGGAGGAGGAGGCGGAGAGGGGCCCTACCCCTCCTGTGCGCGGGGCGGCCTCCTCTCCCGCAGGCGTGTCCTACAGCCACCAGTCGACAGCCACGCTGACGCCGTCGCCGCAGGAGGAGCTGCAGCCCATGCTGCAGGACAGCCCCGAGGCCCTGGGCCCCCCACAGCAGGACCGCAGGTGAGAGGCAAGGCTGCCTGTGGCGGTGGGACTCGCTCAAGTAGACTGGAGACCTGACGCCGCTTGTCTGTGGCTCCGTTCCCTCATTCTAGGCACCATACTGTGAGCCCACCTCCCCCCCCACGGCCTCTGTCCCCCCCACACACCTACGGCTACATCTCCAGCCCCCTGGCGCTGGACACGGATGGCATGGAGGAGGAGGAGGAGGAGGAAGGGGACGAGACAGACGCGGAGCTGGCCCAGGCGCACCTGCACTCGCGGCAGCACCCCCCACTGCAGCCGCGCCGCCTGCTGCCCCGCGGCCTGGAGCAGACTCCGGCCTCCAGTGTAGGTGACCTGGAGAGCTCCGTCACCGGCTCCATGATCAATGGCTGGGGCTCCGCCTCCGAGGAGGACAACGCCTCGTCCGGCCGCTCCAGCGCCGTCAGCTCCTCCGACGGCTCCTTCTTCACCGACGCCGACTTCGCCCAGGCCGTGGCCGCTGCCGCCGAGTACGCCGGGCTCCGCGTGGCCAAGTACCCCCCCTCTGAGGGGCCGGGCGGTGAGCAGGCCGTGCCTCATCGCGGAAGCCCTTGATCTCCTGCTGACTGACGAACACGGCCCGTTTCTCGCAGCGACTTCCCATTAATAAAGATATGAATTATGCATGAGTACGCATGAGCCACATTTCACAGAGACGTGAGCCACATTTCACACGTTAAAGCCTTGCGTCTTTTCCAGGCCGCAAGTATCCCATGGCCCCTCCGGGCCACCGTCCCGGCAGCCCCGTGTCCACCGACAGCAACATGAGCACTGCTGTCATGCAGAAGCGACCGCCCAAGAAGCAAAAGCAGCACGCGGCCGCCCACCTGCTGCACCAGCACCAGCGCCAGCGCGAGCACTTCCAGGAAGGTAGGCTTCCATGGGCTTCCTCTGTGCATGACCTCAGCATCCACTGACATTCCTGCACACTCCCCCTTTAGGGGGCGCCGGCGGTCAGCAGGTAGTGATGCAAAGCCTGATGAGGTCACTCCGGAGGCGTGGCCTCTTGCTGGGGAGGGTGGGGAGCATGTCGTACTTCAGCTGCTCACGTACTATCTGGCCACACGATGGGCTGGGGGTGGCGGGCAAGGGGGGAGGGACCCTGTTTCAATCCACTACCCCATCTGGGTGTGAAAAGGTGGCATCCCCCCCCCCCCCCGCAGGCATGGGGACGGCGCTAATTGAGTGAGTGAGTTTGCCTTACAGGTCACAGCCTTAAACACACAGAGTGTGCCGACCCTTTGTGTACTATGTATACTCCCTATATGCAGTGTTTCTGAGCAGGCGGGGCTTTCGGAGTGGGGGGTGTGGGGTCTGGCATCCCGGGAGACTCCGATAGCACCATGTCTCTGCGCTCCTGCCTTTAATGAAATCGCCCCAGGTGGCCTGGCTGTTATTGAAGTGGCCCCCATTGCGAATGCGTAGGTACACAATAGCAGAGAGGGCTGGCTCCGCCTCCGCGGAGAGGCTAAGCCCGTACCTGTCCGGCTGCCGCTTCCCGTCCTCCCGCTCCCACGCGCAGGCGGACATGCTGCGTATTACTTAATGAGCGCAGAGCAGAGTAAATCTCCTTTATTCACAGGTTTGACAAAATCCCCACCAGCAGGACTCACAATTAGCAGAGGCAGCCCCGTCGGGTCCTAACGCCAGGCATGAGTGATGGCAGAGGGCCGGTCCTCTCAGTCCTGCGGAAAGCAGCCTCTTGTTTGTTTGGCCACAACTATGAGAACAAAAGGTCCTTGTCTGTGTTTGTGTGTGTGTGTATGTGTCTGTGTGGTAAAACCTGAAACTTTCTTAATTTTGAGGACATTATTTCATCCTCAATTTTAGAAAAAGCTGTGAATGCAATCAAGAAATTAAAAATGCAAAAAGAAAAGAAAGGAGTTAATGGTGATGTGATTGGGATTGTGTGTGTGTGTGTGTGTGTGTCCCTGTCTCTCTGCTCTGTGTAGTCTGTGTCTGATCTCACTGTCAGGTGTCCTTGTGTGTCAGAAGCACTTGACAGTGAGATTTAATATCCAGACTCTGGCATGCAGTATTACCACCTTAAATTCATCTGCCCCCCACCACACACACACACACTCACACACACCCTGTCCCCCTCAGTGTGCTGCTGGACATATTGCTGGGCTTTGGGCTCTGGGCTCTCCATATATTTCTTGGTTGTTCTTTTGTTTTTGTGTCCCCACGGGGACGTTTCGCAGCCTCCCTCCCCAGCCTGCACGCTGGGTGCCTCCCGGGTCACTTTAGCCCTGACTGGGGCAGGCTGGCCAACCATGACACCCATAAATACTCAGAAAGGCCCATAAATAGTGCTGCAGTTAAGGCGGAGCAGGCTGCTCTCCTCTCGTACCCTGCGCCTTCATTTTCCGCCATTCTCCGCTCTGCTAATTTCACCCCTGTTTAAACAGCAGCAGAGGAGTGCCCCCCCGACACAGACACACCATTTCATAGAGGAAACCCTCTGCTCCTCCCCCCTCCCTGCTGGGCTCTTGACAAAAGCCAAATCGAGGTCCTCACAGGTCTGCATGATTATAGCTAAGCCACCTTGGATCCCAGTGTAATTTTGCCAACCCCCATCCCCACCCCCACCACCTAAAAGCCCTGCCTGGAGTGCATCTGCTGTTTCTGGAAACAGCCCGGAAGCTGTGCTAGGAGTCAAGCACACGCTAGAACCAGAGGCATGGGAATGACAGTCATCGGGGAACCAGAGGCCAGTCTGTGTTGTGTGCCTTCTTTATGGCAATCATTTCACCATTATTTTTCATCACTTGATTGATTTCTTTTGTGTTATTTACCCCTGCATTACATCAAATAGACACTTAGACAATGTAGTGATTAATCTTACGTTTTAATCTGAAGGTTGCATTTTTTTACGCTACACTTTTTTTCGACATGAACTCCAACAATTATGTGGGATCCAAGATCCTTGGAAATGGAACTCTGGGGCTCATGAGCATCAGTGTATGCATAATAATTTTGTTTTAGTGCATTTAATTTAATAAATGCATTTTTTATTGTGCTGCAGTGTCATGCCCTCTGATATGATCTCATTCTAATGGAGGCTGCGCAGGGAGGCGCATTCTTGTGTGATTTTGCTGACTCCTCCACACAGCCCGGCTCCAGATCTCTCCTAAACCCAAGTGCCGACGGCAGGTGTCAGAGGCGGCAGCCCAGCGCAGCCGTAACCCTCAGCAGCCAAGCTGCAGAGGAGCCGCCGGGGGAGGGCGGGGCGGGGATCTGAGAGCTGTGCTCCAGGAAGGCAGAGATTGCAGCAAGATGAGGCAGTTTGTCCATAGCGTGAATTACGCAGGAAGGGATTTCTCAGATTAAATAGTGCTTCAGCAGTCCTGCGTTCCTCAGGCTTGGTCTCTTTGCCGGTCCATTCCCTTGCTGAGCCGCATTTTGCCAGTAAACTGCTTAACTTCATTCTGTTTGATCCATCGACCCCCAATAGCTTTGCTGGTCTTCCATTTTCCTCCTGGCTTCTCTTCACATCCCGGCTCGGTGTAAATAAGACCTGTCACAGCCATCTGAGCTGCTCTTTTCACTGAATCCGCCAACTCTAAAAGTCTAAGGGGGGGGGGGGGGTTGACTGCCTGCAGTGTGCGGGTGCTGCTCCCGTTCCTTATGGGGGTGTTAGGGAACTATGGACTAAACCTTCCCTTGGTCTCCCGTCTCTCCTAGAACTGCCCCCCCCACCAATCCCACCGCCGGCGTCACTCAAGTCACCCACTCACCCCTCCAAGTCAGCTCTGGAGGGCTGGGCAGAATCCCGCGACGTGGAGGGCAGGAGAGCGCCCCCTGGGGGATACCCCCGGACCAGCTCCGCCGAGCGCACTGAGGTGCAGGAGCGCCTCAAGGCCTCACGTGGAAGCAAGGGTGGCAGACAGGAGGGGCCCCCCAGCATCAAGGGCCGGCAGCAAGGAGGTGCGGGGCCCGACCTGAGCAGGCAGTAACTGGGGAGACAGGGGGCTCACATCACAGAATATAATGAAAAACAGTATGTGTGTGACAGCAGCTGGGCGGTTAGCGCTGCACCCGCATCGTGGGTTTGATTCCTTTTTTAGAACAGCGACCGTGATTAGAAGGTTGCTGGTTCAAATCCCATGTCCGGCAGTGATGTCACGGTCAGGCCCTTGAGCAAGGCCCTTACCCCTCTTGCTCCCGGGACCCCCTGCTATTTGAATTGTACATCACTCTTCTATATAAATAGATGTGCATGTGTTGGGCAGTAGCTCCTGTGGAGCTGGTCACAAACGTCGTCAGGCTGATCCCTGCCTCATCCTTCCCCAGGGACAGAGGACATCCCCCCCTATAGCCGGCCCTCCTTCCCTGGCATGCACAGCCCACGGGATCGTGAGCCCAGCTCCTCCAGCTCCACGTCCTCCCGGGGCTCAGGGGGGCGGCGTAGGGGAGAGGCGGCCCCAGGAGGGCGATGGAACCCCACTGATGGGGGGCACAGCACCATGGGGGCCTTTCAGGCTGCAGATGGAGACCTAGAGGTGTGTTGGCCAGTCTGCTTTCCGCTGGGACACAGGGAGACGCCTGCAGGCCACATTTATTTTTTTTAAAAAAGAAACCTGTCCTGATTGATGGAATTTTTTTGCACATTTGTTCTCTCCTTGTTTTCATGCCACAGAGGAGGGTTATAAATGTATTACTCATGCGCTGCCTCCCCCTCTCTAACACCCCCTCCTTCGTCTCCATTCTCCTCGCTTGTGTTCGCAGCTGGTGGAGAGCTGAAGCCCACGCAGGGAATCCCGAAAGGCCATTTCAGGGTGGGCGCGTGTCCCCTCCCTGGGTTTTAAACGTCACAGCATCCAACCGGCATCCTTTTCTGACAATTTTGTCAATCATGTTTCTTCACATCTGCAAAACTGACCAATATTTTTTATTATTATTTTTTTTTATTATTTTATTTTTCGGTATCCATTTAAAAGAAGTGATGCAAGAGAGGGAAAGGGAAAAACATTATGAATTTCGAACAAATTACTTGGTGGTATTTTAGGCTAAATGTCAATGCAATACGGAGTGAGAGTTTTCTCATGCTGTTAGTTTGCCCTGTTGAAATTTTACGAACAGAATCACAAGAGCCCTTACAGTCAATTGTTACTGTAATAAAATTAGCTACAAGCAGGTGGGTGGGCTATCTTGTAAATATATATAAATATATACATTTTTTCCATAATAACCTGTTGTGGTACTTAAAATTTGTCTTCCTTGTTTGATATTTTCAATAATAATTTTATTATACTGTTAATTATAATTATTTTGTTGTTTTCATCATGTTGTAAATTGTTAAATCATTTAACCACCCCAAGAAAGTACCACATAGGGATTTATTTTGTGTAATGCACTGTTATACTTTTTGTTGTCGTCAATGTTTGTTATTTTGTTTGTATTTTGGTTTTAAAAGCACAATCACTAAAATTTATTTTAAACCATTTTATCTATTAACCTTTTTGTCTTACTGGAGGACTACATGACAAGAGAGCCTCATCGGTCAGGATGATGTAGGTAACGATGTGAAGTGTTGAGGAGTGTTTCTCTGGTGGCAATAGAGGGCGCCGTAAGGGCGGGCTGGGGGAGTTAGAATGATTCCAAGGGCCCATGAGTGACAGGGGCCCTAAAAAATGTATAACATAATTGGATTGGTCGGGGTAGGGGGTCCAATATGATATAGGGCCCAAACTGTGTAGTAGCACGTCTGGGCATTTGTGAGGGAGTTAGGGCAAACTGCTGAGAATCTAGGGCTTCACAAGGTTTAGATTCCCAGCCCAGCTCCAGTGGTGAATCCAAGGGAAATAATCCTTATTTTATGGGGAAAATAAGAGCAGTTTGTGGAAGGTTTGGAAGCTAATTCAGGTACAGTAGTGACTTTGTCTACCTATGCACTTAAAAGAAGGTGACAAACGGAAGATCGGTGGTGCTTTGTGAACTGCTGCTTAACCAGGACTGATGTTTTGGGGTGGGGGTGGGGGGGTTGTTACCAGTGCTGAGGAAATGTCCAATTTGTCAAATGGGGGACTTTGTTCAAAGGACCTCTGCAGACCCTTTAGAAAATTGAGTTGAATTGTAACTCTGTCCTGAGGACACTGGTGTCTCTGGGACTGTGCTGAGACGGACTATCCACTGACCTGCCCTTTTCGCCTCAAGAAAATCCACCTGTGATTCTCGACGGAAGAAAGTAAAACTAGTGGTTTTAACGCTCAAGGTGCTGTTCTTGGTTCAGGTGACTCTGCTCCGGGAAAGTCCAAACTCAAGTGCCATCCATTTAAGCCAACTTTGTGTTTTGTTTTCGTGCCTCAGTTGAGTTGAAGCAGAGTGAGTTGGCTGTACTTTTTGAGGGAAATTAGTGTTGTTCTTAATTTTGATTTTTTTCTATAGTAAAAAAAGGCTACTTCTTTATCATTAGCCATGCATTTACATACAGAGGATCACGTAATCTGAAAATGTGTCATTTTTTCCACATTATTTATTAAAAATGTCCTTAAATGCCAAAATCTATGCTTGGTCTCTGCTTTGACATTGTGGGATAAGCATGGCATTAAATGCTTTGCTGTAACAAATCTGTGACATTTATCCTGCGTTTTCTCTAATCTTCTTGAAGCTCCTGACAGTTTTTGCTATTTATTTTGATGCTCAGGCACCGACACGCAAACATACTCATCACACACAGCAATGACGGACACCCTGGCCTCCTCATCGCTTTCCACCGTGCTCGTCTTAACCTCCTGTTCCTGTGGCAGATGTCTTGCTGTTTGAGGGGTGAGCCATAAAGGTTTGGCAGGGTCATCAGTAAGGGCTGGGAAAAGTAAGGTAGCTAATGAGTACTGATGGGATAAATGAGGCACCAAAGCCCATGGTGAGATGAATTGTCACACATTACTGATTACCGACCCATTCAGCAAACTTCCCATTGGTTACTGTTTTGGGTTGCTGCTGGTTCAAATCAGCGATTGACAGTAAGCCCCCTCTCAGGGTTTTAAGCCTCATTTCTCCCATCACTAGTAATGAGGTTAATGGAAGAAGACTGGCAAACCCAAAGCTGACCTCTATAATTTCACAGGCCACAAATCCACACCAGTAAGGAGCTGGACGTTACACACAGATGGCATCCATTTGTTGTCCGCGTAATACTGGCAAGGCTTCCAAAGGACAAAATGCACATTTTGAACACTCAGTTATATAAATAATATGCCAAAACAGACCATGATGAGGGGTACAGCATCACTATTCATCAAAGTAAATCTAACATTAAAAAAAAAACACAGTTGGCACCTGACATTACTTTTATTGACATTTTTATCATTGGCATAATAGAAATGCATTACAACTATAAAAGCCAATACCATCGCATCTATCATATTTTGATAAGAAATCCATTTGAGGCATTCTGGCCTGCAGGGCCAGTCAGCTCCCTGCATTTACAGAGTTACGTGCTGCATTCTTCTCCTGTTTAGGACGATTCTGACATTTGTACACCTTACTGAGTGTTCCTTCCAAGATCGATGAATCAATGTATCATGAACAGTGTTGCAATAAATCCACCCTGATAAATATGAATATTGTTGGAACTTCAATATTCAACTATAGGCAGTGTTGGGGGTAACGCGTTACAAGTAACGTGCGTTACGTAATAATATTACTTTTCTTAAGTAACGAGTAATACAACGCATTACTTTATAAATTTACACATCAATATTTGAGTTACTTTTTTAAAAAAGTAGCGCGAGTTACTTTTCTATTTTAATTAATTTGCTTAAAAAAATATTTAATTAAAAC